CAAAGACGCATTGAATATCAAAGATAAGGGAAACGCTAAAGTGTGGGCGCACTTTCGGTACAAGATTTGTGGAAGCCCATCATAAGCAACTGTAGTAGTGGCTCTAAGCTTACGCAAGCTTTCGTAAACCTTTGAAGGTTCTATAAATTCCAGAACTTGCCTCAGTGCGACAAATGGAATCACAGAGGTTAGGAACTTCTTCTGTGGAACTACGCGTATTTTCCATAAAACCAGCAAAAAATTTTCCTAAGGCGTCTGCCTTATCTTTGTCGCACATGAGAGAATTTCCGCGCACATCAGTCAAAAAAGGAAGCTTCTATTGACCCTTTGTCATGTATCTGAAGTATCTATAAAGACCCTTGAAGTTGTTTTTAGAAAGACGACGTTCACGATTGGCTAGAAACTTTTTGACGTGATGATTGATATCTCTGCAAATTTTTCTGTAAAACTGATTTGCTAAAGGATCTTCCAGCTGCGAAAAAAGTTTAGCTTTTTGATCAAGCAAATTTAGGATATGAGGAGGGTATTTGACAAGCTGCAACGGTTCAAATCGAAAAGGCACAAATTTCGGGAGAATTTGGTATAGTATCTTGCAGAATCGGTAGTAAAGATTATCAACGGATGCGTAATTTTCGAAGATCTTATACCAGTCGATATCTCGCAAAGCAGCGTTTATTTCTGAATAGCCAGCGTTTTTGAAATCAGGGTAAGGAACAAAAGTACTGATACGGTGGCTGAAAGTGGCTTCAAAACTCAATACATTGTGGTCAGATGATCCAAAAGGAGGATGTGCCTTGACGTTTTGAACTATGTCGTCAGAAGAAAAAATCAAATCAATAGCCGATTTGGATCGGGTAGGAAATGTCACTTTTTGGACTAGATCACAGTCGTAGAGCAGAGAAAGAAGGCCGTTATTGGAGCATGTGGTTGACGTCAAAAAATCGATGTTGAAATCGCCTAAGACAATAGTTGGAACAGGAGAAGAACAAATATCACGGATAATGCTCCCTAGAGTGACGTCATCACTAGAGTTGGAGGACGGGGTGCGATAGAGAATAATAAATCGCAAAGGTAAGGGGCAGACAGCTGACCAGACCTTGAGACAGAGAAGATCAAAGCTACCATTCGTAGTGACACTTATTCGCTCTACGGCGAACTCCTCCTTGACGAAGCAGCATACCCCTCCTCCCCTACGACCTGCTCGATCACTACGGAGAAGAAAATATGGAAGGTCAGAGATGATTTCGGAATCAAGGATTTTACTGCTCAGCCAGGTCTCAGTAACACATAGAACATCAGGAGAATAAAAAGATAAAAAAAGCGTGCAAGAGGTGGATCTTGTTAACTAGACTCCTAGAATTCAAAAGAAGACAATTAAGAGAGGCAGAGTTGACAGGCGGGCTTACGCGTTCAACTGTGAAGAGCGGCTAGGGAGCTCCGAAATGTGCCTTAGTTCTCCGCGATAGACCACCCATTCCCTTGTAGGCCTACCTTTGTTCCTCTCTCTAGCAGTCTGTCGAAGTTGAAATTCCTTCGCACGCTCCGCAGGTGTCATACTCCTGCGAACAAAGATGTTGTGTAGATCGGATCGCCGCAGGAGATGAGCGCTAGAGAGGGCCTGCATCCAAAAGGAACGGGAAGGGAAAACAACCTTCACGAGTCTTGGCCTATTCCCATCGGTTTTTCCCATCCGGTAGACCTCTGATGGCCAACAGTCTACTTTTAGGACCTCTAATACCTTTGCCACCCCTTCTTCCAGCTCTTCCTTCCGTTCTAGCAGCGATTTCCCCGGATCTGATTCGGGGAGACCTGATAAAACTATGCTGCGATTTCTCTTTTCTGTTTCGACGTCGTCGGGGATTTTGGTCTTCAACACTCGAACCATTTTTTCGATCACTGGGTCGGTAGTTCGTTCCAAAATTGAGTCTATTATTTCGCCGACAGAGTACCCACTAAAATCCTCGTTTTGGTCCGCGGTATTATTATTGCCGACTACTTGAGCAACAGCAGGACTCTGAGATGAATTACTAGAAACCTTACTTCTAGTCGTGCGAGAAGATGAGTTCTGGGTACTAGACCTACTCTGACGTGGCATGATTTGCCTGGCGATCGATGAACAAACTGTCAAAAAAACCGTGAAAAGAAAGCTGAAAACAGAGGAGAGGAGTTCAGAGACTTAAAGGGAAAATGAAAAGTGATTAGGATTAGTGGTCGAGAGAACAAAAAAATTGGAAAAAGAATGATAGAAATGATAGAAATGAAACGCTTTAAGAAAATTGAGGGAGGGAGGGTAGAACGCAGCCGCTCAGGGTGAGCACAGCGATTTGTCCCGATGTCTGTCAAGATGTAGAAGTTGGGAACAACTTACAATTCCTGCACATCATTACCAACAATATCACTATCGCTAACGTCAGAGATAACAAGTTCGCTGCCTGTAAACCTTCTTCTTCCTCCAAAAGGTCATCGGAGTAGAAGTAGATCTGCGTGAAAAAGCGTCTAAGTCGAAAATGGAGAAACGTTCTTCTTCTCTAAGCGCTTTTGTGATTTTTTTCCTGGCCCTCTGATAGCACCAGGAAAGTCAGCAGGTAGGTGATCAGTCCGTCGTCGAGGTCAGTTTGGGCTTTCCAGATTGTTGATGATTCGTCCTTAGAAAAGCAAAAAATCACAGGAATTATAAGCTCCTGCAAGACGAAGGCGGTTGGTTCGAGGCGCGACGTGGCTGTGACGCGGCTGTGACGCTGCTGTGACGCAGCCATGTCGCAACCGCGTTGCACATCGAACCGACTGCCTTCGTCTTGCAGGAGCTTATACTGGCTTAGTGGAGGGCACACCCATGCATTTCTTGACAATGTGCCGATCTCTCCTAGCACTTGTAATTGGAATACCTTGTATCTGTAAAACTTCAAGGATTTGATGACGCAAGAACGCTGCTGCTTTCAAGCGTTCTTTATTGGCAAGATTCGCAGACTTGGATATTTTTTCCAAGGCAAGCCCCACATGCTTGTACATTTTCAAGAAGCTGTGGATACCGTCCAAAATATTGAATGTTTTTATGGAAAAGCAAAAAAGATCTTGTATAAACTTTCTTCTAACAAAGTCCATCTTATCGATTATCCGTTTCAAGTTGATGAAGCGTTAAAGGCAGCGTCCAGGCAGATTTGGACCTATGGGGCTTTTACGTGGAAAGTACTTTTGGGGCCCTAACACTGCCCAAGCGGCAGCTCAGGTAGTGCTCTAATGGTTCAGATATTCCCCTCGAAACTGGCCCCCGCGAACGCATTCGCACGGATATATGGCAGTTTCGCGCCAGGATCCACGCTTTGCGCCATGAATCCATGCGGTATACGGTCGCGGGGTCCAGTTTCGAGGGGAATATCTCAGCCATTGCAGCACTTCCTGGGCTGCCGCTTGGGCAGTGCCTTAGTTGGGGCCCCAAAAGTACTTTCTACGTAAAAGCCCCATAGGTCCAGATCTGCCTGGACGCTGCCTTTGATTTTCCAAAGTTTTGTCCATTTCTGATAGGACACGCCTCCGTTATGGAGCTGCGAAATAGAACGCAACTTGTTGAGATATGCTGTCTCAAAACTTCCTCCATTGCAAAAATGCCTCGCTGGCTTGAGCTAGAGCATCAGCTAAGCGAGTTCAATTTTGTGTGCCATGCAGTGTCTTTCATTTTTTTGCTTATATAACCAGTCAATAGACGCGTTCGCTCACGTTCCCGTTAGTGCTGATAACGACGTCAATCCACAGCACATTTTTTTTATTAACTTGCTCCACCTCGCTTTTACAAAGTGTTGGCTTTTATGGATCACCGGAGGAAATGTGTTTGAAGCCGGGAAGCAGAAAAACCCTAACATGTTTCATACCATTCGAAAGTTGAGATCATGGAAAATCGACGCAGACCGTCGCCTTTTTTCTAGGTCTTCTGTGCTGCTTACTTATGTACTTCAAAAATCAACTGTTTTTTATCCTCACTTTCTGCTCTCCAAATGAATGCTGCGAGAAAGTCGACGGTCTACGTTTGTTAACGAAGACTTGCTCTGTAACATAAGATAATCAGCAGTGATTAGGTTTTCGTTTGGCAGAAATGTGCTACTGAAACTGGACATGTTTTCAGATAAAATGCGGTGTATCTCTCGGTAGAGAGGGGCTAGAAAGAAATCGATGGTCTAGGTCGAATCCCCTTTTCCTGAGCTTTCGAATGGTATATAGGTGCTGAGCGAAAAAACTTACCAGTTTTCTAAGGGTGGAGATATTTACTATTAGCTTGCTCCACCCAGCTCCACCAATGTATTGGCTTTTATCGGTCACCGGAGCAAGTGCTTTATAGAGCCGGGAAGCAAAAAAGCCCCAACATGCTTTACACCATTCGAAAGCTGAGATCATGGAGAATCGACGTAGATCGCGGCTTTTTTCTAGGTCTTCTGTGCCGCGAGATATGAGGGATTTTATGTACTTCAAAAATCAACTAATTTGTGGTCCTCACTTTCTGCTCTCCAAATGAATGCTACGAAGATAAATAAATAATATGAATAAACATAAATACCGTTTCTTTTGTAAATTTATGAGTGTACTTTTTGTTTGAGGTACTTAGCCCGCAAAACCTTTTAATAACGATTTTTATCATATTCTCAGAGTACAATATCAATCTCAGCCCAGGTGAAGGGGGTCATCGGAGTTTGGCCTCAAAGTGAAGGGGGTAAGATCCATCACTTCCCCTGTCGCAACTATGGTCCACAGTTCTACATCGAGATGTTCAGTAAACACTACAACCCATTTCTCCTCCATATTTGTAGTTGAATTGAAGTGATTGATTATAAAAGCATATAAAAAAAGCCAGGGCTATTAGTAGACTACCCGAGAGTAAGGTCAGACGTCAAATACGATCAATATCGTGTTTTGAGGAGATATCTATAGTTCAGAAACTTTCTCTCTCGTAACTTTCGCCCAGTTTGCAGAGCCAGTTTGCTTTTTCATAGTTGCAGAAATTGATACATTGATATGTTTAGACTGGTAAGGATAGAAACGCTGGAATCAGTCACCAATCAGAGAAAAAAATATAAATAGTCTCGACACTTCGCCCACAGAGTTTTCATCGACTGCCAAATTAAACCTATGTCTAACATTCCTGCTGTAATTGCTTTCTTTCTAACAACATTATGCGTAACAGCTCCTCTAAAATCTCTCCTGGATAACCTTGAAGATGGACATCCGGTTTGCTCTAAAGATTTCGAGGAGGACGAGACTATGGCCGAATTCCGGCGATTTGCCAACGCTCCAGATGAGGTTGAACGTTTCTTGGGGAAAAAGCTGGTATGATTAAGAGTTACGATAAAACAGTTTGAAACGATTGAGAATTCAATTCGAGGCTGACAACGACGGCATAAAAAGATACGAAATCTACCATATGAATCCAAGCTGGACAGCTATGTTTGTAAATGCTATCGAGGTAAGTCTGCAACTCAAGAAGTCATTGATCTCTGGACTTTTTTGCTGTCAAATAAGCCTTGAGTCATAAGAAGATTTTCCAATCCATGTACTATCACTCTATATTTCTTTTCGTTTCTTCCCTCAAGTTTGAGTAAACGCCGAATCACGCAAAAAATAACAACGAACTGTAAAATAATTTAAAAGCACATTCAATATCTTCTTCTTTTCAATGATTAGGTAAGAATCCATAGCCTCTGATCAGAACTGAAATAGCTGCAGAAATTTAGTGCGCAATTTTTACTTATATAAGTTACCCCGTTTATTTATCATTTTATATGGAATACTATGCGGGGCCAAATTTTTTGGAAACAAAGCACACGCTTTGCTGGAAAATTTCATGAAAATAATGCATCCGCTTATTTAAATTTTATTGTAATTTTTATGTGGTTTTATTATTTTTGGGTGAGAAACCTTGACATGACTAAACACCTACGAATTAACATTCCCAGAGTTCGTCGTAGACCAGATAGTCAGCAGTCGCGTGTAATTTGCAGTTCCTCTTGCTGCATCATAACAATTACTTTGAAAATTGCGAAAATTTTGGCCAGATTATCGGCAGACAGTTTTTTTTCAAATTCAGCTTTGAGTATTGGTAAAACACACTTAGAAGGCGCAAACTTCTTCTTTTATAAGCATTTCTTTGTTCAAGTTGTCCTAACGAGAAAGGTCATGAAAGGTCTAGAAGAAAAGATGGGCTAGCATGATATGGCCCTTGCAATTAGTTGACACATCTTTTTGCATTCAATTCTTTCTTCAAAACGCTATCAAATCTGTTGTTTACTCATTTGTAGCAATTGAAATTGTTCAGAAAGCGAATAGGTTTTGTTATGTTACAGAGGGCTACCGGCAAAAATCACTTTCTTCGCCTGAACAGTTTTCGTAAAGGAGAGCAAGCAGCATGGACCGCGCAGGAGATCAGCGAGCAGGAATTCAAAAAGTGGGAAAAAGAATGTCCACTGTAATGTTCCAGAATCTAGCTCCTGTTTCTTGACACTGTCTATTCGAGGAGTTCTCGAAAAAATCACTTTGACATAAAATGCAATTAGTTTAGTTGTTTCCACAGTTAGTTGACAGTGATAGTTGACACAGTTAACACAATAACTCACAATAAATATTACTACAGTTCAAGTTTATGAGAGAGCTTTCAACTTTTAATCAGGACCGATTCGGCGATATACCGGTATATGATCCGTTCTCGCAAAGTAGGTAACTACATCATTTCCAGCTAATGTTATCAATTGTAAGAATTCATGTATCAAAGCACGCTTATAAAAGAAAGACAGTGCACGAAGCGCACCAGTCAACTAGGGTATAGGTAAGTCTTTTACGGTCGGAGAAGGATAGCGATGGCAATCGCGAAGTTAACTGGTGGTTAACGGGAATGTTCATTCTTGTGGTTCAGTTGGTTCGGTTGTTCCAGCTCCAAGAGCAATTTACTGTTCCATGTGAACATCGCTTTGAGGTGAATACAGAAGTAATCTACCTATAAATTGTGATAATGCGCGATTCAACTCTGTGCATTCACTTATAAAGAATGACTTCCCTTGCATACTCGGGGTAACGTAAAGGGAATCATAAGAGTTCTTTTTGTTCAAATTTATCCGCGATCATTTAATTTAAGCATAAATTAGATTACGGATTCGACGCGGATTTATCTGAACTTTGAACGAATGTCTCATGCTAGCGGAAGCGGAGTGATGCACTTCTGCGAATTGGAGTAATGCAGTGGATCATGCTCTCCACTCAACTGGATGTGGCCAGCATATTTTGGAACATACGAGGTTTTTTCCAAATTAGTCGAATACCCGAATATATTCGAAAATCAAAAACGGATTGTGTTTGAAGTAAAACAGTCAAATATTCAAATGTCAAATTTTTGCAAAATCAATATATCAAATATCCGAATCGAATATATATTCTGAAATAAAAATGTATGTTAATAATGTAGTATAATCCAAAATAAAGATGTATGTATGTGTGTATGTTCGTTTTTAAGCTTTATATGAAGATGTCAATTAAGTATCGAATAATATGACAATGAATACATTTCGGATGTTAGGTATGCAGTTGTGCCAATGAAATGTGTTCAAAACTGCGAGATTCGTGGGATTCCCGATTTCTGCAGGACTTTTTTTTTTAAACTTTTTCTACAACAACTTTATTTGAAAACTGTGAAAAATTTGAATTCAGCTTGACGAGACAAATCTTGTGGTATACTGCAATGTAGCGTAGGAACTCGTAAGTGATAGGTATTTGTCGTTTTTTTTGTGCATTGTATGTTAAAAATCTATACCGTGAGCCATACGGAGCGGTCAGATCCGATCCCACGTTTCATAGATTTGACGTTGTCCTTGTTTTGTGTTTATTGTTTGTTTTTGATTTACTCATTTCTCTGCTGAGAAACTCTCTTGCTCGCATAGGTAACTCGCGCTAGCTGCAGCTTCTCTGTTTTGAGGTTCTGCTTAGGTTTTGCCGTCACTCCAACGGTTCTTCGCTTCCGCGCTAGTAGTGTAGTTCTGTGATCTCATGGATCTCAGGCCGTTCATCAAACGCCAGTCTTAACTCTCTCATGTGCCGTTCGTTTGTTTTATTTATTCTCTTTTGTTGCTTTATTAATGTTGTTTGTCTTGCAGACAAAGGCTAATTCGATTCTTGTGGATGAGTCACTCGAACCGCTGTACTAACCGCATCTTTGGGTACCTAGAGTTTTACTTATTTACTTTTCCGCCACAAGAAGCCGAAACCACTGACGTGCCCACAGTGGAAGCGTCAACGACCTTCCCCAATAAGGAGAGCGGGGCACTCACAGATCCCGTTTTGGGAGCTGGAGCTTGTAGCGGCGGTCATGCCCCGCTTGGAAAAAAACCGAATCAAACTTGGAGCACTTACGGTCCCCAAAAATTTTGAATTGCTGAAAAAGTTGCGTTGAAAAGTTCCATTTTTTGTATATGGGCTGAAAACAATAGTTAAAACGGATCATTTACCTTTCACAATTCTGTTCAAAAGAACAGCAATCTCCGCAAGTTTAAGGTGCAGAGTACATTTGGGAGATACAGTATGTGAAAGGGAACATAAATGTAGTCGCGAACGCGTTGTCGCGCACAGCAGTTCCAGTAGAAACAGCTTTGTGCGAACAAAATGCAGCCATAGTGTGCGCAGCACGAGCACAAGTCAAAACGGAATGGCTGGAAGAATTGAGCTAGAATACGGATTACGCGAAGGTAGTTGAAGGGCTCAAACAGGTTAGGATGGACGGAGAAATCCAACTGCCAAAATGTGGGGAAGAGCTGCATGTTGCAGATTCCCTCATAAGCGAAGGACTGCTTATGCTGATGAAGAGAGACAAAGCGCTCAAACTGGTTCCAAAATCAAAAAGAAAGGAACTGTTCGATAAAGCACATGCAGATGCGCTACCAGGACACCTGAACGCTAAGAAATTGTACAGAAAATTTAAAAGGATTTTTTGGAAGGAATGCAAGAAGATATAGGAAAGTGGACAAAAGCTTGCACAAAATGCTTTGTGCGAAGAATCCACGAGAAAAATGCCCCCCCCCCCCCACCACTAAAACCAATTGTGGCAAACGATCCGTTTGAGTTGGTTGATATGGGTCTGGCAATTGAGTCGTACTGAAAGAGGGAATAGGTACGCATTGGCAGTGACTAATCACTTCTCGAAGTTTGTGGGAGCGTACCCCATTGTGGATAAGAAAGCTGAAACAGTAGCAAGAACATTTTTGAAAGATGGGTATGCGAAGGTTGCTGCTGGTCCAAAGCGATACACTAAGACCAGGGGAAGTGTTTGTAAACAGCGTGTTGTCGGAAATCTGTGATATCGTAGGTATAGAACAATCCGTAACGAAAGAACAATCCGTAAATCCGTACAGCCCACGTGAGAATGGTGTCACAGAAAGAGCAATTGGTACGCTCTAGGATGCTAAAAAAGAAGACAGTCGTAGCAGCTGATTGGGACACTTTGTTGCCTATGGTGGCCTTTGCTTATAATTCATCACCTCATGACACAACAGGTGAAAGCCCATTTTTATATCTTGCAGGTCTTTGACCCCAAGTTCCCGTCAAAAGTTGTCCCTCAAGAAAAACTCTCTTTCAGTCAGATAGACCTGGATGACTACAAACATGAACTTTTAACGAGTATAGAAATGATTCAAAGGTCGGTAAGAGAGCATAACTTAGAAATGAGGGTAAAAGTGAAGCAAAATGGCAATTCAGTGTTAGTGTCTTGGATAAATAGTAATGAAGATCTTTTAGAATTCAACACGATATGGTAACTGAAGTACAGTCGAGTAGACTTCTCGCTTAATATAGTGCGCTTGCACAGAAGGTGAAATACGGTAAAATTTGCGCGTGAGAAATTAGCTTCGACTGTGACGCCGGCCAATTGCGCGTGCAAAATGCCTGCAGTGCTGGCGCAGCTACTTGTTCACTCGCAAATTTTACTGCATTGCATAAACTGTGCAAGCACACTATATTAAGCAGAAAATCTTCTCGACTGTATCTAAAGACTCGATGATACACCACTGCAGACAACAGCAAAGCAGATGGAGTAGGAAAAAGTTATTGCCGGCCAGTAGCAATGCTATTTGTTGCAAGGTTTCGTCATCTTAGGCCCCGGACAGACTTCACGCGATTTGATCGTCGCGACGAGACAACTGTTACAACATCATTCCATGCCGATCGACTTGCATTTCGGTTGTGATACTTTTCCAGCCCGAAATTTTTGAATGTGGAATGAAAATGAATGGAAATGTCGGCGATTGAGTCGCGACGTTCAAATCGCGTGAAGTCTGTCCGGGGCCTTACTCGGAAAACTCTGCACTGAGTCTATTCCACAGCTGCACCAGTCGGAAAGCCAACGACGATTTCGAATGTGATATGATAGGAAAATTTTCGGGGATGCTAAACGTTGACCCAGTCATCGCTGGACTACCCATTACGACGATATACTCGCTGGCCCGCTACATATCGATATTCGAGCAAGAGAGGGACCCCGATAAAAGGAATTTCCTCATGAAAGACAAAAAGCACACGTTTATTAGAACTTCGGGTTTCCAGAAGCTTATGTGTCAGGCCCATGGCCACCAAAACGAAGACCGATATAGATCACAGGCGATCGAACGCGCACAATCGATCGGCAGGGCCGCAGGCCGGATCTCATTTTTGTTGATTATCTGTTGTTCCGACGCCAAGGAACGGTGGCGTCCTTTTGTTTCGTTTTTTTTTGTTTTCTAATAAACGTTTTTTGTTGTCCTTGCTCTTTGCTCGCCTAGGGTATCATCCCTTACATATGTATTTTTCAAGAGGCACTGTTTGTATACCATGGGTGACCTCATACGGCATGATGGGAGCAGCCTGTTAATGAGATACGATGGAGACTATGGCTCAATTATTGACCAAGTGAATTCTCTAATTAACGAAGGCGTACGACTCGCTGCATTGCACTCATAGAGTGATATGAAGGTGGAGAAGAAGAAGGAGAGGACAATGCTCATGCTGCCGCAAGGCTTCGCACACCACAAGCATGTGGTTAGTTTAGCGAGACTACGACGGTATTCGTATACGACGGACTTTCAGACATGTGCTCCAAAGTGAAGGAACTAAAGGAGCCATACAATCTCATGTTCGTCGGGCCGACCAACAAGGAAATACCCCCTGAGGGTGAATTAATGAGGTTGACTATGTTCCTCACAAATACAGTACGAGGAGCAGGGAAACTGATAGCGATAGCATCACTACGGGGAGATCAAGAATGGGAGGCCACTCGACTAAAAACAAATGAGATGATGAATACCATTCGCGAAGCTGCCTACGCCAGCCGTCGTCACGAAGAAACCTCAAACACCAAGTGTTGCCGCGCCTGCTCTAGCAGTAGGGATAAGACCCCGCCCTAATGAATTGTATGGGTATACTGAAACGGTGGTGTGGGACTTTCTCAGCACTTTGCTTGATTATAAGAAAGGAGATATAAGTTTGGACTCAATTGAAAAAGTGGAGAAGCCTCGCGAGGCCAAAGGTCACAGCACATCCCAGCAGCGCCACTCAACGAATACCGAATACAGTCAAGGATTAACTAGTCAAGGAGGACGA